TCACGGAAAGGCAAAGCGGGAGCAGCCGGAGGAGCCCGAGCTGCCCCCCAAGCTGCCCTGTCTACGGTGGGTCCCCCCACCCCACTATGGACCTCAGACCGTCACCTGCGCGGGCCGCAAGCGGCGGGGGGCAGCAGACCGGGCACAGCAGTTTCAAAAGCGCCGTAGCGAAAGAACGCAGCCTTCCCCTCCAGCATCCCGCCCCGGAGCACCAGGGGTGCCACGGGAGGTCCTTCGGGGTGCCCAGAAAACACCAGACCAGGGCTCACCCCCGTGTAAAGGGACCCCGGTGGAGGCTGTGAGCTCTAACCTAGCCGTAATTCTCATCTTCCCACTCGGTGCAGCTGGAGCTCTGACTCCAGCAGAAGCAGCAGTGTTTGTACCTCTCAAAACGAAGCACCGCTATTAATAAATCACTTCTCTCAAATACAAACAGGAGGAGGCCTTCTCGGGGGATTTTACCAGACAACAAGCACACAAACAACTGTTGGGAGTAAAAAAATATGTTTTTTCCTTTTAATTACATCAGTTATCAAAGAAAAAAAGCAGTGGTAACAAAAATACAAAGCTCTGAGGGTTTCTTGTTTTGTAATAAGCTGAGCATCAGTGCAATTGTTTTAATTTAACTTCTGCTCTGAGTCTCTGCTGGCAGAGTACGAGTAGGCTTTGCCCAGCACCAGACGGTCACGCAGCAGCTTGAAGAAGGCGTAGTAATTGCTGAAGAGGATCAGCGCCAGCGAGATAGTCTGGTGCCACTTCTCTGAAGAAATCAGTGAGTAAAGCTGGTAGAAAATGACGGCTCCTTCCAGCAGAATCAGGATGTTGAGGATTCTCAGTGGTTTGCTGAAAAAGAACTGCAGGAGAGACCACAGTAAGGCACTGAGCGAGGTCAGCCCCTTCGGGACGTGTTTCTGACAGGACGTGTGAGGCAGAGGCCTATGGGGATTCCTCTGGGATTCCCCTCTGGAGACACAACATTTATCCGTGAACGGCCCCGGGCAGAGCCCCGGTTTGCATGGACCACTCACCCTTCTGGCAGCACCAACAGGAGACGCATGACTAATGTGAAATGCGGTACCGAACCCGGCTCGTTCCACCGCCCATGGGCAGCTCTCCTGCTCAGAGAGCCAGCTCAGGAAGCCCAAGGTGCCGAGGACAAGAGGACCGTGACCCTGCCGCGGCGCTACACCTCGGTCCCCAGAAAGCAGATGTGACCTTACGTGAAAGCGGAAGTGCGAGACGTCCGAGGGCACCGCCACGTTGTAATGACCCACGGCTTTGTACACATTCTTGCTGTGTTTCACCAGCACTCCCTGTGGCCACATGCACTCCTCTGTCCACCTGCAAGAAAGAAGCAGAGAGCTCTTACTTCTACCTCCACAGCCGAAGGGGGAAGGTCTGCTGCCTTCCCACCATCGGCTAGGAGAACGTACGAGCTGTTTACGCAGCGTTGGCCACAGTAGTAAGCTGCCGTCTTTTGCGAGGGCAGAGTTTGGCCCACCGAGGCACGTAACCGTGGCAGTGACAAACAGCAGCTACATGGGGCCAGAAGCAGCAGGCGTCTTGCCAAAAATCAGATCTGCTTGCCATGCTCGGGAGTGGACAGTACAGAGTGTAAGCTGTCGCACGTGTCAGCCCACAACTCCGCTTTAATTTTTCTTTCTCTTATTTTTTTAAGCAACAAGAGGAGGAGGAGAGATGGCTGGAAAGCTGAGCTCCCCATCCAGCCTCTGTTCATGCCAAGATGAGAAAACTCCAGCCCTAGCCCCGCGAGAGAGTTCCTTACTGATGCTGTAGCACATTGGAGCAGAGGGCTGGATCGACCTTCTGCCAGCAGCCCAGGTGTGCTGCGGCTTTATGGAGCAGGTCGCAGTAGCGAGCAGGTAAGAGGTACTGCATCAGGATCACGGAGGTGCTGATGGAAACCAGAAGGAAGAGCTCACACGACCAGCGTTTGTCATAGTACTGAGTGTTCTGTGGGGGGACAAGAAGAATGAGTGACAACGTGTTTGGACAGCCTCACCTAACAAAGCCATCAAAACACAAAGCACTCAGGCAGGTAAAACGAGGGCTTTTCACGTAGCTACTAATCCTGCTTGAAAAAGAAGCGCCCACATAGGATGGCTGCTGTACAACTCCTGAACACACCACAGCCAAACATTTGCGCTATCATCACCCATCACCGAAAATGGGGAGATGGCTCCTGATGCTCTCCTGGCTCAGCTGACGACGGGTGGGAGCACCAGCCCCTCAGGGGAAGGGGACTTGGGCTCACCCCTGAGGTCTGACAGACATACTACGAGACATTTGTCTCATTGTACAACATATTAGGACCTTAAAACCACATATATTAAAACCAAATATATTAGATATTCCTAATAGGGTTCAGCCTCCTTCATACTGCCTCCCTTATTAAAGCCAATCTCCTTGTCCTGGAGCTCTGTCCTCACAGAAGGTCAGTGTGCGAAGGAATGTGGGCCTGGAGTCCTTCTAGCTTCACAGGGAGGCAGGAGGAAGACACTGCTCCCTAACAGATGGATGCACACTCTCAGGACAGCCAGATTACACTTTACCAGGGCAATATTGTCCTCTGTTATCTGGAGTTTAAGCAATGCCAAAACTAGATGGTTTTGCTTCTTACTTTTCACAAGGCCTCTGTAAATGGGTTTGATACAGCTGCCTGTGCACGCAGACCAGCCCCCTGACCAACCTCTCCCATGTTCCAGCTAAGCAAGAAGCGAGAACCAGGCCTCCTCCATAACTCAGTGTCCACCTCCCCACAGTCCTCCCCACGCCTGGAGGAGCGGTGTCTGCAAGAGCAGTGGTGGCCCTCGCTCACCTTCACAAACCAGACCGGCACAAAGGCCACGTAGTAGGCACTGAGCATGGAGCTCACCAGCACCTCTTTCATCCGCCAGTTGAAGTCCATTTTCAGGTATTCCACCTCATTGCGGATGAGATCTGGGGAGAGGCAGCAGGCATGAGTGGGCATGGCCTCCATGCCGTACATCTGTCGAGTGTGCTGCTTCCAGGTTTCCTTTAGGACGGTCAGGTAGTCTCTGCCCCTGGAGTTCACCTCGCTGGTCTCTCTGGGGCCGATGTTGGTCACCTGGGAGAAGAGGCTCGTCTTCCGAAAGTCACAGTTCAGCTGGAGGAAGGGAATGTACATGCCAAACCTGGAGCAGCAAAGTGCAGAAAGGTGGTTACTTCCTTACAAGCTCCCTGTGCAATGCCTTTGCTGGCAGCAAGTCAGCATTACCATCACATCCCCCTCCTAAATGGCATCTAGTACCTCTATAAACTCCAGAAAAGAGCTTCACCCATCTGATCTCAAACACAAGCACCAAGTCTCAGACCTTTATGAGATGCTTCCTCCCGCATCTACCAGAAAGGAGGCAGCTATTTCCACTGCTTGACTGGAAATAGAACTGGCTTCCTTTTGTTAGTTAACATGAAGCAGGGAAGCTGTTTGATTCACTCCACCTGGCAGAGGCACTTAAGGACCAAGGTGAACCGAAGACAAGGGTTCTTTGAATACCATGAGAAAAGCACACGATCCTTTTCAGAGGACATGAGAAATTTAATAATTAATGCTTACATTAAAGCTGAAATGTGGATAAAGGTTAAAGATATGCCCTGCCACCAAGAAGAAATGTGACACAGCAAGAGGGAAAAGGGCAGTTTAAGTTCTGTTGCCAGGTAATCAAGTGCTTATTTACATTCAGGCTTCACTTCAACTGAGCAACACCCACTGCACTGAAGCAACATTAGACATCACACACAAGTGACAGAAGAGATACTTACGGGTAACACAGGAACAGGAGATTAAGGAAAGAGTAGGTTCTGAAAAGGTGAATTATTGATCGACACAAACTCCAGCCTGTGCCAGTGAGAACAGCAAACCGAGTGATCACCAGGAAAATAGAGCGTGGCAGGGAGACTTTGCCACTCTGTGAAGCCTGCGGGGAGAGAAGAAAGAGCTGGGCAGAGGGGAGACTAATTCACTCTTCCTACAGGAAGCAAACAGTAAATGAGCAGCACTCAATCTGTAAAATCAACTTCATATGCATGAAGGAAGAGCTAGTGAAAGGCTCTGTTTGACTGCCACCAGGAAGGGGAGGCCTTCCGTAGGCTGGAATCTGAAGTCTCCAAAACCCAGGGCCTCACTCCTGAAGCTGGAATGAGGAGAACTCTCAGAGTTTCTTGTTAAGGTCTGGTAGTTACTGGTGTGGCCAGCCGACGCTCCACAGACAGCTTCCGCAGTCAGCAGAAACCGACCTACACTGGTTCCTCCTTGCAGAAAGCCAGAGTAATCAAGAGAATAGGGGA